CACGCACGCACGCACGCACGCACACACACACACACACACACACACACACGATAAACCTCTTATCATCACAGTGTGTCTTTTTCGAAGGCTTTTACATGATTTTCTGAGATTTATGACTGGGGAGGAAACCTTAGACCTGTGATTCGAGATTCGAAACCTGAGATTCAGGTGTTGAGCACAATTGAAATCAGTTGCGTCATAGCGAGCAACAGCTGAAGTCTTCTCTATGCAAAGTAGCTTTTTGATCTAGGCCTACTTGCCTCAGGGGACAAAAACAAACAATAGTAGATAACGCAAGGAGCAACAGTAAGAAGAGTGCACACTACATACCTAATTTATTATAATATAGACAAACATACAGCATGGATCTATAATGGCAAACAACGAAACAGGTGGGTCCGTCGGTGAAAACTATCCAATACTTTTTTACTTTTACTTTTTCTGTCTGTTGTTGTCTAGCTTCGGGGGCTGATATCTTTTTCTGTGACAGGCCAACTCTGCAGTTCTTTCAACTGAGATGCTATAGTTTTTCGGGGTACCTTTGACTTCCTCAATCCATCTTTTGGGTATTATCTACCTCTTCCTTTGTAGCCTGAGTTTTTGGTGCTATAGACTAAACCAGGCGACATACGTAACATGTGGCCAAACTATTGTTTTTCTTTGTTTTTCTAAGAAATGCAGTCCAGTGGGCTATTGTCTCGAAACAGAAACGGGGTCCATTGAATTATATGTATAATAATATAATATATAAGTAGCTTTATCATTTTCAAGAGATTCCGATTAGGTGGTATGGGGGTGTTTTGGTGTGTTTGTCCCTCCTTTCCTATCAAACATCCATTGCCCTTATTTCTTTTCCTTTTTATGTTTGTTACATTCTTTAGTAACACCTTAAATCTCGCGTACTTTTACAATCCTACTGTGTTGCAAGTGCTGTAAAACTATTACTAAAACTTTTTAAAAACACATGGGTTTCCGAATCTCACCTGATGTCACAGTGATGTGGCATTAGGCAAGAGTCGGTGTACACAAGCGGTCTCCAAAGGATGACACGAAGGTCGCTGGAGGAGCATGTAGAATCCGGGTGAGCCTGGGCGCGTCAGATCATCACATCATCACCCACGTTTCTTGCCCTGGATCAATGTATTGTTATTGGCTGTGAACAACAAACACTTTCCACATTTCCCTATCCCCGGCCAGCCTCTTGGTGTCAACCCCTGTCTTCCCACTTTTTTGTACATCATTCTCTTGTGAGACGTTTCTCTAGGTTTCGCATCACGTATTCCACACACACACACACACACACACACACACACACACACACACACACACACACACACACACACACACACACACACACACACACACACACACACAATTGCAAGCCTCAAAGAAGCACAACTGATCTAATTTTCTCAATTTATATTATCAGCAGTTCAGAACATGCGTGGTTCTTTTCCATCGAAAGCTGTCACGAGCTCGAGCTATGCCTGCCAACGTGATACATATATTATGAACATTCCGGGCAACGCTTCGGCAAAAAGATGCCTGTTAGAACAAAATTGTGCGGGTTACACGAACTTAAGTGAGGTCAAAAATTCGCTGGACAACTTATTTTCAAATATTTCGACCCCTACTACCAGACCCTACAACTTTTGCGCAATCATCATTATCATTGTCTTTCTCACCCTGCACCTGGGTATAGGCCACGGACCAACACTTTTCACCTTTCTCAATCCTGGGCTAGCCTCTTGATGTTATTCCATGTCTTCCTACTTTTCTCAACATAATTTTTGTGATTCTTCTCCAGCTTCCACGCGGTCTTCCCCTTGATCTTTTACCCTGTGGATTCTAACCTAACACTTTCTTTGTTATGCCGCTGCCTGATTTCCTGAGAGTATGTCCAATCTATCGTCACCGACTTCTTCCATCCTCATCTCTGACTGGGATCTGTCTTATTTGCCTTAACACTTCCTCGTTTGTGACCCTGTCTGTCCATCTGGTCCTCAATAACTTTCTTAGACACTTGTTTAAGAAAACATGTATCCTCTTTATGTAAGTCTGTGATTCGTTCCATGTCTCACAACCATACAGCAGGACTGATTTCACTTTTGAATTGAAAAGCCTCAGCTTTGTTTAAAGTGATATACCTCTGGTCTTCCAAATCCTATTCTAAGATATGAAAGCTGCCTGTGCTTTTCCAAGGTGGGATTTTATTTCAGCACCCTTTCCTCCCTCTCGGTCAATTATTCTCACAAAATAACAGAAGGATTCAACGTCTTCTAGTGTATTTCCTTCTATAGTGACCTGTTCCTTTCGTTGTGCATCTGTCC